CAAGCACTACAAAATAGTTAATGTCTGATGTAGAGTTCCCAAACCACACCAGTCTGCCTGATCTTCACAAACATCACTGATGTGACATGAGCAGCACAGAAACAGATCGTTGTATACAGTGACAACCCTTAGGCCTCAGGATGTTAAAAGTTCTATAGTTTTCCATTGTCTTCCTTTCCCCTTAGTGACACGTCTGCCCTATCTCAGTCAAGAAATCATCTTCTAAATCTGCATCTAAACAGACATTCCTCTGCTCCACAATTTGCACAGGCAACACGGAGAAAAAAGGGGTTTTTCGCAGAGTGTGATCTTTTGGCAGCTCTGGATGAGTTGTGGGGAGAGAATCCTCCTCTTTCCTAGATACCAGTGACAAGCAGTCTGCAGTGGAGCTGCTTTCCAAACAGCTGAATGTTTGTGTACATTCAGTGGTAGACCTATTTCTGTTTTCTCACTTTTTTCTCCTTGGCAAAGGCTGTTTGGTTCAAGTTGGCTGCCAGAATGCAGGAGCGCTTTTGATTCCTGAGTATGTTCTACCTCAGTGCTGGCTTCCTGCAGTTCATCTTTGTCCACTTCTTCATGCATCAGGCACAGATTTGTATTAAACTCACATTGAACTTCACAAGCTACAATATTAGTAGGTTTCTTTGGATTCTGAGATACACTAATGTCTTTAAAATCCTTTCCACTGCTGTCTTCAGTTACACTTTGGACTTTGGCTTCTGGATTGTCAGGTAAACTTTCAATCTGTCCATGTTTAATTTCCAATATATTTTTTTTTTCTAAGTTGATTGCACTACTGGTTAATTGGTTAATTATTTCTGCATCACTGTATGTTTGAATTCATAATGCTTCAGTGAAGACAAGTCTTCATCCTTGGATTCATATTCTTTGTGAGATATGAATGAAAGCACCTCTGGCATAACCTCTGCCAAACTATCTGTGCTTGTTTCCATACAGATTATCTCTTTTTCAGACATCTCTACTGGTGTTGCAGATTGGCTGTAACTTGCACTGGCAGCAACAGCTAAAGGGTGACATCGATATGTTGTCTCCTGTGAGGAAAAATCTGTCTCTGTTGTTATGCCTTCTGCAGATATTTGGTCATAATCCGTTTCTTGCATTGTTTCCAAATTACTCTCCCCAGACCTGAGGAGACATTCTGTAACAGTTGATTCTGCTCCATGTCCAGCCAGTGTCTGAAACTCATAGCTGCTTACTAGAGAGCAGTTCTTATTTGCTAAGTCACTGAGAAAGAAACCCTCATCAGGTGTTGGTATTTTTTGTATTGGCAAAAGCTGCCCATGGTTTCCAAATTGGATGTGTTTTACTGCAGATGTCTGTGTTGAGGTCATATTATGAGCAAGTCCCATAGAAGATTCAGCAGTAGATGCACTGACAGATGCACTTCCCCTGCCTGAATCTGTCACACTTGATTGTGCCATCAAGTTATTATAGTCATTGTCAAGCTCATCTTTTGAAAAAGTTCGCATTTAAGTCTATGACAGTGAAAAAATACTGTTTGATCATTCTGTTTAATACTCAGCCTTAAGCTACATGTGCAGTTCAGAAGGATATAGAAGGCCAGATTCCAGCTTGCAGCCAGTTCCTTAGATGTGATCTACATCATCTCCTCGTGTTTTTAGTTCTTTTATCTATGAAATTTCGGTAAGAGAACAAAATTCACAACATAAGCAGCACAAAGGAAAACAAATAACTAGTTGTAAGAACATGTAACTCCATAATTGTGGAACAACAGCACAGAACAGGTAAAACCCACACCCGTTATATTAAAATTCTAAATCACTCACAGGTTTTAATTAATTTCCCGAATGTAAAGCTAACTAAATCTAGCTTTGAGATCGTTATATTGGGAGGCAAACTAGAAAAATTTTACTAAATTCAACCTGACTCTAGTAACTCAGCTTTATTGCAATCTCTACTGATTTCCTGACAGATTATCATGTGGTCTCCAGACATTTCTGCTTTATAAATCAAATGGGCATAAAAAGTTCTAATTCACGCATCAATGGTTTTGGAAAAGTGTAATTTAGCAATCTGCTCTTTTATTGGTATAAAGTAAACACACACATTTTGCATCTTGTTAGGTTATTTTAAAAATAATCTGAAATTCATGTAGTATAACTGTTGACATAACATCAGTGCCAAGAGAGATAAGTCAAACTTCACAGCATAGTGTGTGCCTGAGTAGTGTTTTTAGAAAAGCAATGAGGCTGTATGCTATATCAGCAGTTATAAAACATTTAAAAACATATAATACGTTTTGTTTGACCAAACTGCTCTGTACATACTGTACGAATCCACGACAGAAGATATATATTAAAATCTGAAAAAAAATGTACTTGCTGCTATGTTATAAATAGAATATTAACAATTGCTTAAACAGTACATGAAATGCAACTCAAAGTTGCAACTCTGTCATAAACACAGAAGAAAAAAAAAAGGAAAAAATAATGAATTCACTAAACTTGACCAAGGAAAAGAAATAATATCAGACAGGAATGTAAATTAACATCCAAATGTTAAAATCAGCTGAGTAAACCTTTTTAAATACAATTCTAAAGATGTGATTTCCACTGTCACAATAACTTCTCAGTTTATAACAGGAAGATAGAGAGATGTTTTACCTAAGAATCAAGGAAATCCTCAGCCTGCCAGCTTTCCATTTATCTTATTTGCAGATTTGTAGTTTTTGGTGTATAAGTTCTACTCTCTCCCTAGTTCTGAGAAACTGCTGGAGGTGGTTTGAGTCCCACCCAGTTGCTAAGCAACAAATGATCTCTATTGTGTGAACCTTATGTCTCCTCCTGCTAAGACTGAACACGAAATTTGGGCAGAAGTTCTTTACAGGGGTAAAATGTGACTAAAACCAAGGCAACTCACTAAAGCTTTTATATAAAGATTCATTCTCTGGGAAACTCTTAAAATTTCTTGCATGCTAACTTTTAGTAAAACACAATCTTTTAGTTTTAAGTTATCCACAAGTGAGTAGAAGGACTAAAGAGAGAGAGATTCTGCTTTCTGTTCTCAGTTACCGACATGCCTGGATTCTGCGGGGCAACTCCCCCGCAAGCCAGTCACCGCCGAGCTGCTGTTCCCCGGGCTGCTCCGTGCGCCGTGCAGCTCCCGGGGATGCCCGCAGAAGTCTGGCTGGCTCTGCAGAAGTAGCTGTCGGCGTTGCCTCTGTCGCTGAGGTGCCTCTGCCGCCGAGGTGCCCCTGCCGCCTTTTGCCGTGGCTGCCAGCGCCGCCTCCCCCACGGCCGAGCCGGCGCAGCGGCAGCCCCAGCGCGCAGCCCCCAGCCCTGGAGCGCGGCCTCAGCACCCGCACGCCGGACTCTGGTTTGAGTAATCCTAAAGAGAATTTTTATGCTTTTATGTGTACCCGAGACACTCTAACGGGAGGAAATTCTCCCGGACTCTCACCTCTGGCTTTTAACAGTTACTAACAAACGTATGGCCGCTTCTCCACACACACACAAGCACGGTACCGTTAACAATACAGTGAGCTCACAACAACGTTGGACACACAACACAATTAACACGAGAGTTAACAAAAATACGGAAAGGCAGTTCTCTAGCCTGCCTCTCCTGTCAACGAGAAGTGGCACTTTTTCGGTGTTGCTCGTTGTGCTAATATAGCATCTTCTAATGCAAGGCACAATAGCTGCTACTTTCTTTCATATGTACCGTACCTGGTTCTGCTTTTTATTTTTTTTTTTTTTTCCGAAAACAGCGTCTGTTGCCATGGCAGCGATCCACAGTGGCTTTCTTCCGGGTTGCATGGTGGCTTCAGGCGCCAGCGATGCAGCGCCATCTAGGGACGCGGAGGCTCCCAGCAGTGTCGGTCCAGTTGACACATGCGCAGTAGCAGGCACAGTGAGGAGCGACACTGCCGACTGCGCAGCCGCAAGAGAGAGCGGTGCCGCGGGCTCGGCTCCAGCTTCATTCTCCGCCGCTAGTGATGTTCCTGCAGCCCCTACACATCCTGCTGCTACATGCACGGCGCTAAACGGAGGTGATCCCGCTGCTCCTAAGGGTCCTAGCATTCGCAACTTCCACGTGGGGAGCCAGATGCTGAGCAGTCCCGAAAGCCCTCGTTTTCTAGACAGGAGCTCAACTCCAACAGATCACAGCACAGACCTAAAGTGCCTTTGACCCCGAGCGGACAGAACCCCGTTCTTCTTGTCCGCACTTGTCTTCCCATGGAATGGAGAGCCGAAAAAAACCTCTCCAGAGCAGGGCCAGAACTGACAGGTTTACGGCAGAGGCGCAGAAATTGCCCTGTCATTGCCTCCAGGATGATATGCTTGCTCCAGGATCCTTCCCTCAGGGAGCTTTTGTCGGATTGTTTGGTCAATTTTAGGTCAATTTCTATGGCTTTCAGCAATGTCAGCTTCCAGTGGTGAGAAGTCATGAGAGTAGTCCCCAGAATCAGGTGATGCCCCTTGGTAACAAGACTTTGTGTTTAAGTGGCAAATGTTTTTATTCACCTCCTGGCTTCTGCAGAAGTCTCCTGTTTTTCAAGACTCCTAGACTCCTAGAGCAGTTGGTGTTGGAAGGAAGGGACCTGAAAGCTCATCTGCTTCCAACCACCCCTCTGCCACGGGCAGGGACACCTTCCGCTCGACCAGCTTGCTCCAAGCCGCGTCCAACCTGGCCCTGAACACTTGCAGGGATGGGGCAGCCACAGCTTCTCTGGACAACCTGTGCCAGGGCCCCACCACTCTCCCCGGGAAGGCTTTCTTTCCCATATGCCATCTAAGCCTGCCCTCTGCCAGCGCCAAGCCATTGCCCCTTGGTCTGTCGCTCCAGTCCCTTGGAAACAGTCTCTCTTAGCCAAAGCCTTCTTGGTCCTCCCTGTTGTGTTGCAAAATTTGCAAGCTGATGTTGTGCCAGGTGGCACCAGCCAAGCCCTGAGCCAGGTGCAGGACCTTGCACTTAAGGTCTGAGGTCACTGGGGCTGTTGAGCCTGGAGGAGACTGAGGTCAGATCTCCTGGGGGGCTGCAACTTCCTGCCAAGGGGCAGCGACCATTTCTGCTCTGTGGGACCAGGGACAGGAGCCGAGGGAACGGCCGGAGCTGTGTCAGCGGAGGCTTAGGTTGGACATTAGGAAAAGGTGCTTTCCCCGGAGGGTGGTCGGGCACTGGAACGGGCTGCCCAGGGCAGTGGTCACGGCCCCAAGGCTGCCAGAGCTCAAGGAGCGTTTGGACAACGCTCTCAGGCACACTGAATCCGAAAAATCGGTCCAAGAAACTGCTCAGAGAATTTTTATCTTTAAGCAGCAAGGTATTTGTTTATTCAACGTTGGGAGCAAGCCAGCTCGCGCTGGACAAACTTGCTCAAAGGCTTCACACAAAATCAGCATTTTTATACAGTCTTCAGATGTGATTAAGTGCATATTCAAGTGATTACAACATCTATCAATACATATTAAAAATAGGTGGAGTATAGGCGGAGCTTGGGGAGGTGCTTCTCTTGGCTCCCCATTTCGGAGGGTAGTTCCCATCTTCCTCCATGGGGCAGGGGGCTTCAACTCATCTTCCTCAGCTTGACCCTTCTTCTTTTCCATTGTTCTTGACCCGCTCACTGAAGCTTGGAAAAAACCCTGGCTCCAGGCCTATTTCTCCTATTTAAATGTCTACCTGATCCTGTTGTATTTCTAATTTATCACCTCTAGGCCTATTACCTGTTCCTGTACTATTCTCTTAAGCTTTGGCCCAGTAAGTAGAACAGAACGAGCACAGATCGTCTTGGATGTTGGTAGCTTGTTAGCAGGCCCAAATCTCTTAGTTAACTCTTTTGGGCCTAGCTTCCTATATCATTCCCCCCCTTTTGTTTAGAATTTACGAATTCCTTCGTCAAGTTCTAATGGATTTTGATAGGTATTCATCACAGCCCACATTATCTGCATCCTTCTAACCATGATGCTTGATTTGCACCATAGCCAAACAATTAGGACCAGTAGTAGAATAATGCCAGCTCCTAATACCAATATTGGATGTATCAAATAGTGAAACACTTGTGATGCTGTAGGGGAGTATCCTGTAAAGATATCCCACCAATGATGTTCTCCCGCTTTTTCCACTTTGGTTAGAACAGTTTTTATGCTCTCAGTGTCATGTTCTACTTGCCAGAGCATTCGTCTAGTCGTTCTGTTTACTTCCTGGACCAGTTTTTCTAAATCAGGATGTTTAAGCATTGCTTTAAAAAGATTAATGTTCATTCCTATCTGCAATTTTGGCACATCATGATACATTGTATAATCAGCTTCAATCAGTTGTCTAGTAGTCACTAGAATGATATAACCAAAGTCACAGCCTATTATTTTAGCAAAACAAAAAAATTAATACCACTCACTACTTCATGACAAATACCTATGGTAAAATTAACACAAAAGATTCTAACACATGCACAACCATTTCCTACATAATAGACTTGTGATTGGGTTTTAGTATGGGGAAGCATTTCAAAGGTACACACACTATTGTCAGCATCTAAGCATAAATCTTCATTTTCTACTCCAGCATTTTCACAGATATATCCTAATTGTCCTTTAGGAATACATGCCTCAGTACTGACTGGCTGCCACTTTTTCTTGGTGTGATCCTAACTTGCCCAAACATTATGGTCTATGGGTCTGACAATTACATTTTGGTGTATGGCTCTTAATGTCAGGCTAGGAAAGATGGTCTTTTCTTTGGCTGCACTGATAGTGAGCACATAAGCTTCAATTTGTTCATGTTGAGGATTGTAAGTGAAGTTTCCTAACTGCCACCACGCTTGGTAATTTTTCTCAAAGTGTGTAGTAGAACTGTTTCTAGCTATTATTTCTCTTACTTCCTGTGGTAATATTCCTGAAGGTCCTTCTCTTAATATTCCTGCAGCTACAGACTGCACCCACTGTTGAGTTTGGAGACATTGTATTGCAAGTGCAAATCTTTTATGGATGACACCAGCATAGTCAATAATCTTGGTGAAATCTTTTGCAGTGGTTAGCTACTAATGTTAACAATTTAACTGCCAATGATTGTGTTTCTGCCAAAGTGAGCAAAGATGATCTTAAAGGGACTTTGAATTTTCCTAGATCAGATGTGACAGCACTTAGTTTATTCACTAATACTTCTTGATCTATGGTGTTTAATACACTTAATCCTGTGCCAAACCATCCCGTTACATCTCTTTGAATTCTGGTACAAGGGGATCTGGCCATCATCTATACATGCCAGTCTTTAAGGCTTTGTTGAATACAGGGCTGACAATCTTTTTGTATGTTTGATATGTTTACTTAAAGGTGTATTGGAACCCTTTTCAGTGAATATATGGGATCTAACAACAGCTTCTGCTCATTTGAGTGCTTAATTACATATGGTCCAGCATAAGTTAAATTGTGGACACTCTCACAGGCTAAAGAAGGAGTTGTAAAACTGGTGGTGGTCTTAGTCAATGGGGTGGTAGGAGATTTGCTGGTTGGTAATCTCATTGTTATATTTCCTTCCCTGAATGTCCACTGACACATCACAGAAACTGATTTATCTAGAGTGAAGGTGTGCCAACATTGATCAGTCACTAATTACATTTCACAGTAACGTCAGTTCTGGGTGACCATCTAATCCGTGCCTATTAAAACACTTGCATTGTATGGGGTACCAGGATTTTACCAATTATTCAGTACCCTTGTTCCTTGGAGGACTATAACAGATGGATTGTATTGGTTCAGTTCAGATGAATTCAGAATATCTGTATTTATAGCAAATCATAGACTAGAATTCCCATTATAGGCCTGAGACCATAATAATTTTGGGGCAAGAGTTTGATTTAACACTAATGTACTTATCAGTCCAAGGATCAGCATTGAGGAGGCTTGATAGTAGATGATTCCTCTCCCGAGGTCCATGCTTCCTCTGGAACCCTCTTGACTCGAGAGCAGTGGATCCACGTGGGTTTCTCTTTCACCCAGATCATGTGGAGGTGGTCATCAGCACCTGCTGGGGTCCATCCCACTTCTCCCACAGTGGATCTCCTGAAAGATTCTTAACATACACCTGATCACCAGGGTTGAATGGATGTAACTTACAATCAGGCTGCTTGGGTTGGTGTTCTAACACCACTGTAGCATTTTTCTGCAATTGTTTTCCTACAGCCATAACATGATCATACACATACTGATTACTGATTTGATCTACAGCTTCACTGTTCACAGTTTGCATCATGTAGGGTCTGCCCAATAGAATTTCAAATGGTCTCAGTTTCCCTTTTGATCTTGGCTTGACCCTTAGCCTGATTAAACAATAGGTAAAGCTTGATACCAATGAAAATTTGTTTCTTGACATATTTTAGATTCATCTTTTCTACTTGCCCATTTGCTTGGAGTCTGTAGGGCATATGCAGTTGCCAATTGATTTTTAGTGCTTTACTTATTGCTTGTACAATTCATGCACAAAAATGTGAACCTCTATCTGAAGAGATGCTCTTAGGCATTCCAAACCGTGGTATAATCTCATTCAACAAGACTTTAACCACTCCTTTTGATTCATTTTTTCTACATGGGAAAGCTTCAGGCCATCCAGAAAATGTGTCAGTCAAAACTAAGAGATAACAGGACCCCCCCCTTTTCTTGGGAGCTCAGAGAAATTAATTTGCCAAGTTTCACCTGGGAAATGCCCTTTACTTATTGCCCTTTGGCGTATTTTTGTTCCAGTATTAAAGACAAAGTTCACATTGGGATGTGACTTGCTCTATTGTGATAAATAAATTTGGTCCTGCTACTCTAGTCCTTAAATGCTAATAGAGTGAGTCTAAGCCCCAATAGTTTTATCATGTTTTACTTTTACAAATTGCCACACTAATTTTTCTAGCAGTATTAACTGACCTGTTTTTAGTTAACCTCATCTATTGTCTAACACCTTACCTTCATTTTCGTGTATCCACTTATAATCTGTTTCTTGATATTCTACCTGTTGATCTGTGTCTAGTTCTTCTAGCACTAAAGCTGCTACTGATAGTTCTTTACTTCTTGCAGCAGCTAATTCAGCTTCTGCATCAGCTT